AGGAAACTAAGGAGGAAAGGAAGGAAGTTAGTGCATGAAATGAAGGAGGGAAAAGAAATAAGGAAGGAAGTGAAGAAGGAAATGAAGGGAGGAAAAAAAGGAAGAAAGGACGAATGGAAGAAATGAGAGGAAAAGAAATAAGGGAGGAAGTGAAGAAGGAAATGAAGGAAAGAAAGAAAAGAAAAAAAGGAAGTGAAGGAGGAAAGAAGGAAAATTGAGGGAGGAAAGATGGAAAGAAGAAATTAAGGAAGCTAAGGAGGAAAGGAAGGAAGGAGGCAGGGAAAGGAAGAAAGTGGAAGAAATGAAGGGAGGAAAGAAGGAAAAGAAATAAGGAAAGAGGGAGGAAACGAAAGGAGGGTTTGGAGGCAAGAAGGAGGGATGAAAAGAAGAAATTTAGGAAATTAAGGGAGGGAAGAAGGGAAAGAAATAAGGAAGGAGGAAAGTGAAGAAGGAAATGAAGCAAGGAGGAAAGAATGAAAAGAAATAAGGAAGAAAGGAAGAAAGTAAGGGAGGAAAGAAAAAAAAAGGAAGTAAAGGAGGAAAGAAGGAAAATTAATGAGGGAGGAAAGATGGAAAGAAGAAATCAAGGAAGCTAAGGAGGAAAGGAAGGAAGGAGGCAGGAAAAGGAAAGTAGAGGAAATGAAGGGAGAAGGAAAGAAGGAAAAGGAAAAAAGGAAAAGGAGTAGGAAAGAAAGGAAAGAAATAAGGGAGGGAGGAAAGAAGGGCAGGAAAGAAGGCAAAGAAATAAAGAAGCAAGGAAGGAAGAAAGTGAAGGAGGAAAAGACAGTGAAGAAGAAAGGAGGAAAAAAAGGAAAGGAGGAGGGGTGGAGAGGTGGAACCGTCCCTCAGAGTGGGTGACCTCTGCTCTGACCTTGAACTCCTGGGCGGCGGCCATGTTGTTGCTGAGCATTCTGTCCTTCAGCAGAGAGATCGGGTCGGACTTACTCCGGACCTCCTGGATCTCCTCACGGGTCCGGTAGCTGCAGACAACCGGGTCAGGACCAGAACCGGGTCAGGACCGGGACCAGGCCGGGTCAGGACCGGAACCGGGTCAGGACCAGAACCAGAACCGGGTCAGGACCAGAACCGGGTCAGGACCAGAACCGGACC